TCCTTCCTTCCTTCCTTCCTTCCTTCCTTCCTTCCTTCCTTCCTTCCCTCCCTCCCTCCCTCCCTCCCTCCCTCCCTCCCACCCATCCATCCATCCAATGTATATGGCTCACCAACTCACTAAGACAGCTCTTGATGACTAGCATAGAATTAAAATAATAGGAAATAGCAATAGCACTTAGACTTATATACCACTTTACAGTGCTTTATAGCCCTCTAAGCGGTTTAAAGAGTCAGCATATTCCCCCCCCCACCAACAATTTGGGTTCTCATTTTACACCACCTCAGAAGGATGGAAAGCTGAGTCAACCTTGAACCTGGTGAGATTTGAACTGCCAAACTGCTTGCAGTCGGAAATCAGCAGAAGTAGCCTGCAGTACTCCATTCTAACCACTGCACCACTGTGGTTCATATAGATTCAGAGCCATCAAATCCAACATATACCTCTTATGATGTGGATATCTGACTACCTTAGCCTCAGCTTCAGAGAGTGCCTTTTTCCCACATTTCATTTAAGTTCCTGTGGAACAGAAAAAGGGAGCATCTGAGGAATAGTAGATGGACTGACATGTTTGCTTTTTCTTTAGATGGCGATGGACTCTTGCAGATCCTAAAGAAGAAATGGTGGAAGTACATTTTGCTTGGATTGGCTGATGTTGAAGCTAACTACACCATTGTAAAAGCCTATCAATATACAACTATAACAAGTGTCCAGGTAAAAACAATAACCTATATTTTGACATGTGAAGCATTAATATTTGTATTGCGACAAGAGTTTGTCTAGGCAATCTGCTGTTTATAATCTAATATAGTAGGGTAATCCAAATTAGATCCTAATTTCAGTCATGAGATTCACTGGGTGATCTTGAGACGATTTCTATGTTTTATAGAGTTGGTGCAAGAATGCAGTAATGGTGGGGAAAAATAGTTATGCCACCTTGGGTTTACTGAAATATAATTTCAATATTGTACAATAAATTGGTAGGAGAATAGCATTAGCAATAGCATTTTGACTTATGTACTACTTCATAGTGCTTTACAGCACTCTCTAAGGGAGGGGTGGGGAACTATGGCCCCTTTATGATTTGTGGACTTCAACTCCCAGAATTCCATGCTGGCTCAGGAATTCTACAAGTTGAAGTCCACAAATCAAAAAGGGACCATAATATCCCACCTTTGTTCTAATTAGTTCACAGAGTCAGCATATTGCCTCCAACAATCTGGCTCCTCATTTTACTGACCTCGGAAAGATGGAAGACTAAGTCTACCTTGAACTGGTCAGGATCGAATTGCTGGCAATCGGCAGAGTTAGCCTGCAATACTGCATTCTAACCACTGCAACCACGGGTCCTATCAGAATGCTGGTTCCATCTGTTTTAGTATAGAAATGGCTGTTAAAATACAGCGCTGAGCCTCTCCCTGTAGCTCCCGAATTCAAACAGAAAAGTTACCCCACATTGCTGCACTGAAAAAGTACAATGATCTCATTTTATATGCTCCCTAAAATGTGTCTTAATGCTCAAATTGATCCCTGATTTTTAAGCTACTAAAAGCCTTCAGGCAAAGTAAAGCCATTAATGGAAGATCACAGCATGCAATCTGTGCCTTGCATAGCCTTGAATTCTATCAGCTTTTTTGCAAAGTAAAACATTGTACTTTTGTGCCCTTTGTTATGTCTGAGGCAACTGCTGCTGAGGTGGATGCAGTTGAAGTCACAGCTTAACAGTGAATGCATTCTCAACTTTTCCATAAATGCAAACACAGTTTTAGTCTGCAGTCTACTAGATACAATCATTTTCTTGCTAACAGGATACTTTTGATGTTTCGTCAGGTTTTTTTTCTGTATGAGGACAGCATTTTGATAATACATATATTTGTATTGATGCTGCAGAGACATTTCTATTCTAAAATTAGGACTGAATTGAAAAGAATTGCGTTTATTCAGTTGCAAATTCTCAGGAGAGTAGGGAGGTTTTGGTGGAAGGAACTCTCTTCCCAGCCTGACAATCCAACCTTTTTTCTCTGTAATGTTAAAAAAAAAAATCACAAAATAGTTTGTGGAAGTGGTTAAAGGTAATGGACTAGAAGCTTGGAGATTGTTGTTTGAATCCTCTCTTAGGCATAAAAGCTGGCTAGGTGACTTTGGATCGGTCTGTCTCACCCCTAAACTGGGAAATCAAAGATATCGGTCTACCAACCTGTATTAGATCAAAGTGGAAGATTACAGTCGGTGGGATTCAATTTTTTTTTTACTATCGGTTCTGTGGGCATGGCTTGGTGGGCATGGCATGGTGGGTGTGTCAGGGGAAGGATACTGTAAAATCTCCATTCCCTCCCCACCTCACTAACCTGCTTTCCAGCTCCATTCTCCTGTGCAGGGCAACAAAAGATGCAGGGCAGAGAATAGATGGGGGCGGGGCCAGTCAGAAGTGGTATTTGCCAGTTCTCCGAACTACTCAAAATTTCCGCTACTGGTTCTCCAGAACTGGTCAGAACCTGCTGAATACCACCACTGATTACAGTCCACAACCTTCAGCAAAGAGGTCTTCATCCTGCAGTGGATTGATTCAGGATGTTGTTGAGTAATAAACATTAAATAATACCCCAATCTCAAATTTAGACTATTGATTAACCTGCTTAACTATTCCTTTTCTAAGCACCTGGGTTCATATCGATGTTATAATTCAGTTAGTGTTTGGAGAGCAATATTTCTATCCATAAATCAAAAGAAACTCTCAAGGTCTCTTCAAACTACTAACTCACAGATACGTCTTTGGAAATTACTTTGGCAAGTTGCAGAGTTGTTTTTTTAAAAAAAGAAAAGTACTTAATTTGGTAGAATGACTTAACAAAACATTCACCTCAACTGGAAACTTCCTCCATGAGAGTGATCCAGCTGCTTGTTTTCAATAAGAAAAACCAATGCGGTCTGCTTTGTTTTTCAGACTGATTTTAATTTGAAAAACTGTTTCGCAGATTTCTTTCTTTCTTTTGAGCCTGCTACAAGTAGGAACCCAGTTGCTGTTTCCCAGCTGCTAAGACCATGTGTGGTGATCTTGGCAGTGAGCTTCTTTGCATTGTGGTGCCTCCTTCTGAAGAAATCTGCATAAAATCCTAGAATTCTAATACAAAGTTCTTCTTTGGACCTTATTTAAAGTTCAAAAGATTTATAAAATTTTCTTAGCCTCACCGTAACATCGGAGGTGGTGTTCAGCAGGTTCTGACCAGTTCTGGAGAACAGGTAGTAGAAATTTTGAGTAGTTCGGAGAACTGGCAAATACCACCTCTGACTAGCTCCGCCCCATCTATTCTCTGTCTCCTCGCATCCCAGCTGATCATCTGGGTCTTCTTTTGTTACCCTGCACAGGAGAATGGAGCTGGAAAGCAGGTTAGGGTGGGGAGGGAATGGGATTTTGCAGTAACCTTCCCCTGCCACGCCTACCAAGCCACGCCCACAGAACCAGTAGTAAAAAATTTTTTGAATCCCACCACTGATCGGAACAAATGATCCAGTTTTAACTTGAAAGTCTGTGTGATGACCTGGAGTGTAACACAAATGTAACAAAATCCAGAATGTAAATAAAGGTCTCCAACTTGTCCCCACTGTTCAATAATTCTCAGTTGGAGATAAAACGTACTAAAAATAGTCTTCAAAAGAAAGCCATACAGTCTGAACTTAATGAGTAGATAGAGGTGAAATAAAAAACTGAACAAACTACAATGATAAAATTTCCACAACTGACCAGAATAAGTAATTACCAAATTCAAGAAGATAACAAGGCACAGTCTGTTGGAAGGACACCAACCAGGATAACTTCAGCCCAAAATAAACATGCTTTGCTTCTGGCAACGGTGTGTTGTAACTGTCTCTCTTATGTACTATTCTCCCCAGCTGCAACCAATGAGGAGGATCATGGCCGCTTCCTCTCTTGTAAGCCAAGTTGTTTCCTTCTCTGTTCCTCCCTGCGTGTCCTAGGATGCAGAGGGGATGGGCCTGGTTCTTCCTCTGACTGCCCAGCTGGCCTCTGCTCTTCCCCAGCCTCCTCCACAACCTCCGGAACCACACCTCCACTCCCTGTCGGCTGTTCCTCCTCTCCCTCAGAGCCCGACTCTACCAAGGACATGACAGTCTGTAACAGTGTTTATCAACTGTAGAAAGTTTTAAGATATGTGGACTTCAACTCCCAGAATTCTCCAGCCAGCATGAAGTTCAGTTGAAGTCCACATAACTTAAATGTGTGCTATGGTTGAGAAACACTCGTCTATAATACTTAGTTAAATTTATATCTTGCCTTTTTTCTCTGGAGCGCAGAATTTCCTTTTTTTAACAGCACAGCAATGATCTTACAAGGAAGGTTGAACTGAGAGTGTTGGTTCAAAGTTACCCAACTTCCATGGCTGTAGACACTCTTGAACCTGGGAGTTACTAGTTCTAATCTTAACACTTAACCACTTCTCATGGTATGGAGATTTGGGAATAAATCAGGAGGAAATGGATGCTAAATTTCAAAGATCAGAGGAAAAATCTCTTCAATTCCTGCTGTGTGGTGGCCAAGTTTTTATTTTAAAATATACTCAAGATAACTTCATGAAGCAACATACTTCAGTTGCTGTTATTAATATGTTGTTAAAGTTTTGTCAAAAAGTTTGACTGAGGTACTAGACTTTGACTAGGACAAAGATATAGTTGGCATGAAGGAGGAAAAAAACCCCAAACAAAGCAGAAATTTGCTTTAATTTAAATTTAGAGTAAGGAAAACATGTTTCACTAATTTAAAGCTAATAACATGGCTGGTCCATGTGTAAAGCAACTTCCTTTAATTTTTCAATTTATCGGCAGCTTTGGAAGGACCTTAGAGTTAGTTTATATAGCTCTGTGTTCCACTGAAGCAAATTTAAAAAGATCTCTTCTGAGTTGAGTTCAAACATTGAGCTTTCTCTGCAACAATTTGGAAAGACTGCCTTCTAGAATGTTTTCCCATAGCATAGACTTCAGTCCTTGGACTTCCTTATGGTCTCTTATTGAACTATTAACCAGGTGTCATCCTGCTTGACTGTGGCTGGTCTACCCAACTAGTTGCTGCTACTCACTGTGTAAAGATTATTTAGGCTTTGTTTAACCTGATTTACACCAGTTAGATACCTGAATATCTCTTCCTATTCTTTTTTTATGATGGAGTTCTCTTTCTTTCTGCATATGGCAGCTCCTCGACTGTTTTGGGATTCCTGTGCTGATGGCTTTATCATGGTTCATCCTCCATGCAAGATATAAATTGATCCATTTCATTGCTGTTGCCGTTTGTCTATTGGGCGTAGGGACCATGGTTGGTGCGGATATATTAGCTGGAAGGCAAGATGGTGAAGGTAAGATTTGGGCAAAATAACTTGCTAAGTATGCCATGATAACTTGCTAACTCTAACCATGATAGCAGCAAGGGACTTATTCAATATTTTAAATTCATTGATGAGACTCAGATTTGTGTCTACTAATGAAGAATGTCCTCCAGAAAAATCTGGCTAAACAAAATAATAGCTTTTCTTGTTTGAACACAGACACAAAATTTCTGCTCTGTTAAGTTCAGAAAGTCAGTGTGCTTCATTAGTTACCTAGATATTTCCAGCCTAAAAAAGTTAGCTAGCTAAATTGAATGGTGTGTATGTGTATGTATGTGTACGTGTGTGTATGCACAGTAACACATATTTTTATCTAGACATCCATAGCAAAATAATTTACAAGAAAATCTTTGGCAGGTAAACGGTCTGTTCTCTCTTTTTTTAATCACAAAACAAACTGGGAAAAATAATCCACCCCAAATATTTAGAATTACTATTCTACTATTCTACTATGCTAACTGTACTGTATGGTACAGGGAGTCTTCAATTTACAACAGTTCATTTAGTGACCGTTCAAAGCACTGAAAAAAAGTGACTTTTGACTGTTTTTCCCGTTTTGACCATTGAGGCACCCCCATGGTTATGTGATCAAAATTCAGACACTTAGCAACTGACTCGTATTTATGACAGTTGCAGTGTCTTGAGGTCATGTGATCATCTGTTGCAACCTTCTGACAAGCAAAGTCAATGGGGAAGCCAGATTCACTTAACAACCGTGTTACTAACATAACAGCTGCAGGGATTCACTTAACAACTGTGGCAAGAAGCGTCCTCAAATCCATATTTTGCCATTCAAGATACTTGCAGTATCTTTGTGATACTGTCTGTGCTCTGCAAATATACGATGCTTCAAGTTTTCCACCTTAGCTGCAAAAGAAAGAGCTTACTGTTTTTTGCTTCCTCTGCAGCATATCCCATGCTCTGCTCCAAAAAATCGGGAGCAGTTCTCTTCCTCCAAGGCAGGGGTGTCAAACTTGATTTAACTGAGGGCCGCATCAGGGTTGTGTTTGACTTCCGGGGGGGGGGAGCTGGAGTGGGGGACGCCAGGGTGGGTGTGGCCAGCTCGACATCACTCATGTTGGTGGCACTTGTAGTGGTCCAGAGAAAATGGACTCCCAAGCCCCATTTTCAGCTCCCATGGCCTCCTGCAACCCTCTGTCAGCGAGAATGGAGTTCAGGAGAGCCATACGCGACCCTCCTGAGCTCCATTTTCACTGGCAAAGGTACCGTGGGCCAGTCCTTCCCTGTTTCCAGGGCGTCCCCGGAGGCGGAATACGGCCCCCAGGCCTTGAGTTTTACACCCCTGCTCCAAGGTCTAACCTTTGTGGTGAGGAAAGCTTGTGAGACCCCTTCTTCCCTGCCACCATATTCCACCCCTTATTCCATGCAGTTTTTGAGGAATGGGAAGGAAAATCCAGCACTTTGCATGATTTCACTGCCAGCCCGTTTCTATTGATACGGTTCTTAACTCGGCCACAAAATCCTTTAAAGCTTTAACAAGTCTCTTTTGTAAATGGAGAAATTATCTAGGTCTCTTGGTTTGTTACTCGTGTATCTTTTATAATTAAGACATCATCCAGTTTCTTTTATATATCTAGTGTAGCATCTTCTTCCATATCATTCTTGAAGCCTATTATTTTTTAATCAGTACCAACTCTCATCCAGTAAAACCTGTTCCTCTGGCATAACATCTGTTAAATATAGTTTGCCTTTAGAAGATAGTCTAAAAATTAACCTTTGGGTCCATTGTTCAAAAATATCCTTCGATATGTCCAAAGTTAAAATATTTTGCTTCATTCTATATTAGTAAGTAAAATTTTAAGTGTTCTCCTTTAATTGTGATCTTTATTCCCTCAGTTTCCCTCTTTTATGCTATCATGTTTTTTTAAAGAATTCAAAACAAGCATTTTTCTATGGGAAGGACTCCAAAATCCATCTGGGCCCTTGGTGCATTTATAATCACATTTCTTTTGCTGTTCATTCCAAAGAAAATTGTTTGAAGTCCTTAAACGCGTATTTAGAACAGCTTTCACTAAAGATTAAAGGAAACTTTGCCAAGTTTTTCAGACTTGCCAATCCAAAGATCCCTAATAGCTGAAAAGCAGTTAAAAGTAATTTCCAGAAGTGAGTAGAAAAGAAAGTTCAGATAGTCCTCAACTCATGACCACAATTGAGCCCAAAATTTCTGTCGCTAAGAAGAACTAGGGTGGATAAGATGGCGCTGTTCCAATTCGAGCAGGGGGCTAGGCTAGATGACCTCCAGGATCCCTTGCAACTCTTATTCTACCTTCTAAATGTAGCTTTGCTCTATTTTATGGCCTTTCTTGCCACGGTTGTTAAGTGAATCAGTGCAGTTGTTAAGTGAGTAACATGGTTGTTTTGTGAATTGGACTTCCCCATTGACTTTGCTCGTCAGAAGGTTGCAAAAGGTGATCACATGACCCTGGGATTCTGTCATAAATATTATGAGTCAGTTGCCAAGCACCTGAATTTTGATCATGTGACCATGGAGATGATGCAATGGTTGTAAAAAAGGTGGAAAAAAAGGTCATAAATCACTTTTTCCAGTGTTGATGTAATTTGAAACAGTCACTAAATGAATGGTTGTAAGTCAAGTACTACCTGAATATGAACCCTGCGCCCTTTAGAAGATGCTGACCCTGCCACCCAGTGGTGGGATTCAAATTTTTTTAAGTACTGGTTCTGTGGGCGTGGCTTGGTGGGCGTGGCATGGTTTGGTTGGCGTGGTGTGGCTTGTGGGCGTGGCTTGGTGGGTGTGGCAGGGGAAGGATCCTATAAAATCTCGATTCTCTTCCCCACTCCTGGGGGAAAGTTACTGCAAAATCCCACCCCACTAACCTGCTTTCTAGCTCCATTCTCCTGTGCAGGGCAACAAAAGAAGACCCAGCCAATCAGCTGGGACTCAGGAAGCAGAGAATAGATGAGGGCGGGGCCAGTCAGAGGTGGTATTCCAAACTACTCAAAATTTCCGCTACCGGTTCTCCAGAATTGGTCAGAACCTGCTGAATACCATCTCTGCCGCCAACCCAATTTAAGCAAAAGATGGCCATTCCCTTGTTCTCTCGTAGCTGCCAGAAAACACTGCCTTGCAGTCTCCTTGTGAGGAGCAACTGTTTGGAGCACTTGTGAGTGATCTCATGTCCTCTTCTTAACTGGAGAGGAATTATGAAGAACCAGTCTACTGGATGGCTTTTCATTGTCATACAGTCTTTGAAGCTCCTTTTAGCAGAGCCATCTTCAGTACACAATTTCTTCCCTGGGAGCTGCCTTTTAAGTTTCATAGGGTTTTTTTTCCAAGTAAGAGTTTCATATTCTAGATAAAATCATAAGTGTAATAAAGGCTAAAGTGCTGAAGTCTCTGGCTGCCCTGATGATAGGCAGAAGTCCAGTTGCTCTTATCCTCTTACAATGGCAACATAGTCCTCAGAAATTTTTCATTTGTTTAACATCACTTATTTAAAAGACTGTTACTCTGCCTGAAAAAACATCCCCAGCCCATAAAAATGTGCATTTCTGTTGAAAAGAACAATCTGGACATTGAACAAGGTTTTCAGTAGGATCATATTGCAGTAAGGCTTATTAAAACAAGGACTAAAAGTCTTGGCCTGAAAATAAAATAAAATAACATCCATTTGGAATCTTTCTGAAATGAAGAAGTTGGTACAGCGCTTAAGGAGATTGATCTATTGATTTTCATGGAAAGTTAAGTTAAGCCCTTAATGCAAAATATAGAGAGATATGGGGAGGAAATCTAAGATTCTGGACAGATAATCATTGGCATTAACCGAATGTGTGGTTTCTGCTGGGGTTCTTAAAATATCCAAGAGCGGGCAATACATTTGTTTACTGCAGAATTCTCTATCAAATAGAATCCATTACACACAAGTTGTCTGAATTAGGATTTTGTTTTTCAGTCACTACGTTATGTCTGACTCTTTGTGACCCCGTGGACCACAGCAGTCCAGACTCCCCTCATTCATATTTGTGTTCAAAGTATCATGATGCTTCCAGTTGGAAGGAATAGCAGGTGATCTCCCTGTTGCTTGGAGACACCCAATTGGTGGCTCCTTTCACACCTCCATTAATGTGTCCACCTATCTATCTACTTGCAAGTGCACACTTTCAAACTGCTACATTGGAAGGAGATGGAATGAATTATGGGAACTCCCTCTGTCATGCAGCAGCACTTGGGTTTTGAACATGGACTTGCTGATGGTCAACACAGCATACTAACCACGGGAGCCATTATGCTTCATGCCAGGCTTCTCTGTCCTCCCCTGTCTTCTAGAGTTTACCCAAATTCATGTTCATTGCGTTGAACACTATCTAACCATCTCATCCTCTGCCATCCCCTTCTTCTGTTGCCTTCAATCTTTCCCAACATCAGGGGCTTCTTCAGTGAGTCCTCAGTTCTCATTAGGTGGCCAGAGTATTTCAGTTTTAGCTTCAGGATCCGTCCTTCTAAAGAACAGCCAGGGTTGTTTTCCTTTAGTGTTGACTGGTTTGATCTCCTTGCAGTTTAAGGGACTCAAGAGTCTTCTCCAGCAGCACAATTTGAAAGCAGAATGAGGATTAGGTACCGTGTTTTAGAGCAAGAAATGTTTTCTTATTTTGTAAGGGCAGGAATGATTTAATTTCAAAAGAAAGCCAAACATGGAAGCGTTTACCAAACTGTCGAAAGCAGTTTTGCAGCACAAGCTCAGGTTCTTTCCTAGGTGTGTGTGTGTGTGTAAAGTTGTGACATGTGCTTCATAGAAGTGGGGCTTATGTTGTGATGGCACAATACTGCCATCATTCTCCTTCTCTCCCTTGCCTCCATTGCCTTGCCCTGTAGATGCCAATGAACCCAAATTGTTCTGAGAATGTATCTAGACTTCAGGGTCAAAAATGACTTACAGGAAGTCCAAAACCTATGACGGCTACATATGAATAATTTCAACATCTTCAAAAATGTCTCTAAAAGAAACTCAGGGTTTGATGGCAAAGCTGAGGCAAAAAATAATCATCATCATCCACAGAGGTCATTTGCTGTATTGTTTTATAATCTTTGTGATTTTATGGTCTTTAGATACACACATCTAAAGTCCAAAGCTTCTGTAGAATTTAATAGGGAAAGTTTAGAACTGGGAGGAGACAGGGGAATAAATAAAGTCTAGATATTAACTGCAGCTGCATGTGTGAAGCCCCATGCCTTTTTACGTGCCTAAAAGGGTACAGCTTCAAACACATGGTTGCAACTGCCATTGTGAACTTTTTGATAATCCTAGATTTAATGCTGATTTCCAGGTTTTCTTTCCTTGTTTTTATCATGCTGAGAAGAGAAACTTGAACAATACTTTCAGTCAGATAAAGGTAAAACAGTAAAGACATTACAGGCTAGTTGTTGTACAACTAGTTTTGTACACTTAAGGCCAAACATTTTTGATGCTTGAGTTGAATTCTTTAATTCAGAAGATTGAATTCAGAATTGAATTTTTCAATACCTATAGGTAAGTTCCTCTTTTACTAAACACTTTCCAACAATTATGGGAAACACTACAATTCATATGGAATCTAATAATTGGGTATCTAAATAGTACTATTTCTGATTTTTTGAACTTTTCTAAATTTCATTTTTTTTCTGATTTAAATTTTGTTTTTAAACATAATTTAAAAGGCTTATTTTATTATATTTTGTTTAGAGTTTGTATAATGTTATTTTCTCATAAACTTTAAGAATGCTGTCATTGATCTCCAACTAGCTGATATTTATATTGTTCTGAAGCGTTATTTCCTTCTAAGTTATAAAGAACTATCTGTGCAAAAATATTGGAATCTGAATACCTTCAGTGTTCATAGATAAATTTGCCTGTGTAAAAATAATGACACAGGAAATAAATTTGAATACAATTAAAAACTTTCAACTTGGCTCTCCTGCCTCTTGATATGCTCAGAGACACAAATTAAAAGATATATAAGTCGTTAACTGATATATTTTGAAGGTAAAATATTTTTAAGTTGAGATCCTTACTGGCTGATCTCTAATCAATAATATGGAAATAGTATCATTATTTTAATCTGGGATGTTTTCTGAAGATTCTGGGTGTTTTCCAAAACCTGTCCTCCCAGTCTGATTTTGCTTAGGTTTTTCAGGACAGTCATGATCATTTATTTGGATGGTGTGCTTTAAAAGGAAGGTAAATCTAAGAAAAAGTTCTAAATCTCATCAGTTGTATGTGTGAAACTAGTTAACTCAAATCAGAAGTGGGTTTTGATGAAGCACTAAACACTCAATGTTTATTGTATATGGAGAAAGGAGACACCACCTCTTCAACATTTCAATAGAGTAGAGTAGAGTAGAGTAGAGTAGAGTAGAATAGAATAGAATAGAATAGAATAGAATAGAATAGAATAGAATAGAATAGAA